AAACTGCCCCTGCAGTTGTGACCCACTACTAAATAATAATATACTCATTAGTTAAAGCAACTGCTACTTAGTTTCCACGTTTTCAGGCTGCACAGCAACTAGGCGATGAGACGAATGTTAACCTACACTACGATAAAGGTAAAAACACATTGCCCGCGGCATTTCACCTGATATTAACCTAAGAGAGATAAAATGCATCATTTTTGGTCATTGTAATACTTCATTCAGGCAAGGTAAAAGTTAGAGGGGGTGCAAACGGCTTGCGTACATGCAGAACAGGCAGAATTATCTCCAGGATTCAGAAAACAGAACACACTTCAGAAAATACTGCCCATTGGGTGTTGGGTTTTTTTTTTTTTTATTTCCTCTTAAACAATTTCTAATAGAAAAGGATTGTATACAAGAATACTCCTGTACAGAAATCCCTTATATCTACCAAACAATCTTGCTGGATATTCCACGTGGTTGCAAGAAAATATCTCTTAATAAGCACAGGAACGTAAAACACCTTCTGCATATACCAAAATTCTCGCTGGGAAAAAGTGTTATTAAAATTTAAACTAATATTGAAATGAGATGTTCACCATTCTTGGAGAATTAGTCTTTGATCACAGGTAAGAAAGACAGAATCTTTATACAAAAATGTCATTAAAAATATCACAATATTGATAAATTCCTACACACTGCAAGTCTAATTTCACTCAATATAGGATTCTGCAATAACTACGTAACATCTGTCACTAGACTTACCTGTGATGTAACATTAAAAACCTGTCTACATGGTTGATTTTGGTTTAGTTTTGAGGCAGACCTCAGCTCACTCTTCCTGAAGTCCAAAGTGGTGGGAGGCCAGAGCTTTGATCTGAAAGTGCTGTGTTGTGTGCGGGGTTTGAGTGCACCGCCTTCAGATCAGAGCTGGCCAGTATCCACATACCTTGGAGCATTGGTAAAGCCGGAACAGGTCTACCCATAAAAAAAAAAAAAAACAACTAGTCAGATATTCAACATCCTTCAAAAATGCATAGGTGTCAGACAGGGTCATCCACTCTGATTTTCACCCCTAAATCAAGGTAAAGTACGCTTCTTACGTGAGCTACGTCTTGAAGTGCTCTATTTGCTATCTGCTGTTCTCTTGATCTGCTTCTAAGCAGTTGTCCACGTCACAGTGTTAACCCAGCCAAATACTGAGCGTCAGCTCTTCGCACAAAACGGACACTCTGCGTGCCTGCTCTGTGCAGGCAGAGCAAAATGTGTACCTATCATATACAACATAGTTTTTGAATAATGTCTTATTCCTTCTATCAAGTAAAACAATCACAACCAGTATTACATTCCCTAGCTACTGACAAGGTGGATTTAACTGCCATCTGCACAGCTGGAGTTATTAACTAAAGCTCATAAAAAATAACAAATGGGAGAGGAAATAACCTATCACAAAGGAGTACACATCAAATACTTCATTGTTAAGCACCTGTATGCTGCAGTTACTGAGACAGAGCAGCAGTGCAAGCCCAAGCCTTTGCCATCAACAGGACGTAGTTTCAGAAAAAAGCAGAGAAAACAGCCCACACATTTTGAAAGATAAAACAAACATACAAGGAAACACCTGAAAGAACAAATCAAAACCCATCCTTGTAGGGTAGTTTCATAATAGTCTCTGAAGTCAAGATTTGGAGGTAAGGTTATTTTGTGACCTAAGCTTCACAGTCAGGCAGATCTTCTCTCCCCACCTCAAAAGATTCTTTGCTGATTGACAATAGTTCACGCAGCTCTTTGTTTTCAAGCTGCAAAATCAATATTTTTGCTTAAATAGAAATGAGCTAATTCACAATTAAAGGACGATAATCTTTCAATAGCCCCACTCCTTCACAGCTAAATAAAACAACTTATTTTGTAACATACGCATTAATACAGTGCTAGTAAGAGAGGAATCACATCATTTAAAGCTTATCTTTTGCTTCTGGCTTTATATACATATAATACATACATCAAGAACTTGAAAAGAAGCAGATCATGTTCTGCATTTCCTGACCCCACCCCACAAATCTTTGATTGTTTTAAATCCTTGACAGATACAAACAGAAAGTCTTGAGTAAGTCTAGAGACTCCCAAAGCTTGATTTACCCTTAGCAATTCTTACCTCCAGCTGAGCTAGTTTCTCCTGAACTTTAAAGAACTGATCATCATCAACTTGAATAGCTTTTCTCATCACCTCTCCCATCTCACATATTCTGTCTATTTCACTTTCAATTTCCTGAAAGACATAAAAGTGATATATTCAATATGTTCAGGCAAAAGCATCAGTAATAATTTATCCCTTCTAAATAAATTACTTTTATTTTATTGATTTTTTATTATTTTCCTGTTTTGAATTTTAATCCTTTCCTCCCAAGCATCTGCAATCCTTTCTAATTTGTATAATATTTGAAGATGAACACGTGTACCTTACTGTCCGTGATCATGCGTCATCAAACAGTGAATAGAATTACATCAGTCAGTAAGCTAAGGCACCCTTGCTTACTAAGATGGAAAAAATCTCAAGTGTGACAAGGACTGAGACAAGAGATTCAGCTTCATATGAATATTAGTATGCAGCAAATTTTCATATAGAATTTTCAGAAAAGCCTGACTCTGAATTTAAAAGAAAGCTGAATATAAAAGCAAATGAGACTTCAAGACTAAGTAACGGTGTGAAGTAAACAGCCTCACCTCAGAAGGAAGCCAAGCAAGGAAACTAAAATAAGACCAGAGCCTCCTGAGGCAGATTTTATAGAATCCATCCAGATACAACTCTAATCCTTTCTAAGATGCATTTTGTTGAAGTTCAGAAATGCACATATAACAAACACCGAAAAATTCCAACATGTAATGTAGCAACAGTTCCTGATCGAAGAGCACTTTGTTTCAAAATACAGTATTTAGAGAGGAACCCAAACGTGCAAACAGAAAAATGTCAGTAATTGGCAAGAAGTAGCAAGGTAAGAATTTGGAAGCTTTTGAAGCCTTTTCACATTACAAAAATATCAGGTTATCACAGAGCACTTTGGTGAATACCAGATATAGAATTTCTTCTGTTTTAAGTATCAGTAGTTATTCCACTGCCTCTGGAATATAAATTCTCTCCAGAGCAGAGAATTTAGTTTTGAATTCCATTATTTAGAAAATATGTAAACAAATTAGAGCATCTAGAAGAAAGCTGGAGGAACAAGACTTAGACAATCTGGGAAGAAAGAACAATTTTTTTCTAAAAATAAAAGATATTAAAAGGTTGTTACTATTCTCCATCTGGTGGGTAGGAAACAACTCATGGACTTAATATGAAGTACCTAAGATTTTGCCTAAGTATTGAGATAGTCTAGCCACATTCCATCAAAGGTTCCTCAAGAACCTTTCCAACTTTGCATTTCCCTGCCATCAAAAAAAAGAAAAAGCAGTGCCAGAGAGTGTGAGAAGTTTCGTTCAAGTGTTAAGTCTTGATAAACAGAGCAATTCATGCACCGAAGCAAGCACTGAAAGCAAGACTTTGCTACACTACTTAACTTCAGAGGACCTAAGCAATGCAAAACAGAGAACTAATGAGTTGCCATTTATCAGTCCAAAGATGTACCTGCAAAGTCTTAGGCTGGCTCCAATTCCAATCAGAAAACCCACAAGATAAGAGATGTCACTAGGTTGAACCAGCTTGCTGTTCTCTAATCACATTAAAATGCATTTTAACAAGCACCTAACAATTCATAAGCCTTACAGATTTATGTTATTATACTGTTACCAGACATCTAAATGTAAAACACGCAGCAGTTATCAGTAGCCACACCCTAGAGATCTGAAGTCACTGCACCCAACATGGACGAAGGGACACTTTTGGGCCACTGCACAGAGTATCTGGACTTAAAAACATTTGGGAGTGAAAATTTCTTAAGAATTAAACATACTGCAGCTCACAGAGATTTAGGAAGTTCTTCTCCCTTTGTTACAATTACCAAACAGGATCAATAACAACTCTGATAGCTTTGATTTCACTGTAGAGAATCATGTGCATTAAGCTTAGCCTAGGGGAATTCACCACCTAATGCATAAAGAACAAGCCTTCACCTGGGCCATGAAAGGGTTATCACAGAGGACACTGAAAACTGTTACAACCTGCGTGCTGTAGAAGGAATAGGGGAAAAAAATACCAGCAGAGAGACTAGAGTTTCATAAAAATCTATCTTGGAGCATACATTCCATGAATGGAAACAAAGGTTGTACGAAAGCAAGCAAGAGACAGGGGACAGGGGTCTTCGGCCCTCTTCTGTCTTCATCCCACCTTACCAAAGAATTAGCCTGATGAACTTTCAAGGCCGGTTCTGCATCTTCACCTTTTCTCCCTTGCAAAAGCTGTAACATCTGCTTTCTGTATTTGCTCATAATAAGCTCTAATGCATCTTGGTGCTCCTCCAGCGAGATCCATAGCTCTGCAAAATACACCGTATCATTGCCACAAAGCAGAAGCAATTTTTCACGGCAATGGCAGCAGATGCCCAGAGGCACTCGGTACCAGCTGCCCGCGCGGCTCGTGCTACCCCACCACACCCCCGCCAACGCGGCCACGGGACCCCGGCCCGGAGCAGCTGGCTGCCCGGACCCCTCGGCCAGCGACGGAGCCACCCTGACGCCGGCGGTCACTTCCACACCGAGGCACCCAGCGAAAGATGCGCTCCCCGCGCTCCTGAAGAAGCCCTCCCGCCTCCTCCGGCGCCCCACCCGCGCTGCGCATCACTCCACGGTTCCCAGACCCGAGTTCCCCCCGG